CGTACCGGCCGCGCTTCACTCTCCAGGAAAATTATTTAATTCCTGGTACTCATTTCTGTTAGAGGCTGAGTAAACCCCAGGGCCTAGTGCGTCTGGAAGGATTAGGTCAACTGAAAAAATCCAATGACCTCATCGGGATTTGGACCCGCGACCTTTCAGCTTGTAGCACAGCACCTCAACCACTATGCTACCGCCCACAGGAAAAATTATATTCTGTATATTTCAATTTTTGTTTTTAGACAGCAGACAAGAAGACAAAACGTTCCGGACTGACTGGTAGCAAGCTTTACCCAAATTTAGTCTCCTTTTAATTTCCTCCTGAATCAGGTTTTGATTTGTCATAGTCATTCCACATTTTCAAAACATCTGTTATCTACCTTTATGTCATGATTTTTCTCTGCATTCTGGTGATGAGACAGTAACATATACTTAATTTTCTCTTTGTTTACCTCTAGACCAACCTCCTTACTAGCAACAATTAAAGTTTGTGTTTTTCTTTATGGTAACTACAGGAGATGGACAAAAATATGGGAACACCCAACAAAAAACATATTACCGTGACTAAAATTATGTAGGACAACATCTGGCTTGCAGAACTGCTTGCAGTCTCCTTGGAATGGATAAACAGAGGTCCTGTATGATTTGCATGGGAATCTTGTACAATTCTTCCTGCAAAACATTGGCGAGTTCTGTTAACGATGATGCAGGTGGATAGCGCGCATGAAGATTGCTCTCCAAAACAGACCACAAAGGCTCAATAATATTGATATCTGGCGATTGTGGGGGCCATGGCAGACGTGACACTTCATCTTCGTGCTCAGAAAACCAGTCCTGGACGATGTGAGCTGTGTGAACACTGTCGTCTTGGTAAATGGCATCACCTTTGGGAAACAAGTTTGCACCATGGAATGGACCTGGTCACCCAAAATGGTCATATAATCATTGGCAGTAACGTGACATTGCAGGGTAATGATGAGTCTGCCAGAATACCACGATATGGCTGCCCATACCTTGATCAAAACCCCGCCATCTTTCACTCTTGGCAGCAAACAATCTGGATCATAAGCTTGGGATGGCGTTCTCCAGATGTAAACTTGGTCAGAAGTCGGAAACAGTGTGAAGGTGGACTCATCCGACCAAATGACCATCTTCCATTGCTCCATAGTCCAGGTTTTATGACTTCGGCACCACAATCTCCTCTTAGTGGCATTTTGATCACTGATGAGTGACTTTGGAATTGCAGCTCGTCCAGAAATACCCTGCTTGTGGAGTTCCCTTCTTACTGTTTTGGTGCTGACAGGGTTTGTGAGCCTGACATTCAGTTCAGCAGTCACTTTTGCAGCTGCAGCCTTCTTATTTTTCATCACAATCCTACGCAATGTTCATCTGTCTTGATCACACAACACACATTTCCATCCACACTGGTGTTTATCAGATGCAGTTTTTCCAGCGCTCTTGCATGCTGTCATAATCTTGGGTACTGTGCCTCGTGAAACACCAAAAACCTCGGCTACCTTGGTTACGGAAGCATCCACCATACGGGCCCAAACAATTTGCCCGCGTTCGAATTCTGTTAGCTCTGACATGATGCACTAAAAACAGCACAGAACACTGTCTCGACAACAAATGAAGCTTGCAACGTATTGCCAAGGTTGTACAGGCTTGGGCAGATGTGACGTCACCTACAAACGCCACTAAAATAAACACTTCAATTCGAGCATGCATTTCTAAAGCTGTTTCCATATTTTTGTCATCCCCTGTATATTATCACCTAGTAGATTCACATCATCAGCATAGACCAACAGCTGATATATTAAATTTATAATATTGTGGCATATAGACCAGTTGCTATCAAATGACGACACAAACATCTATAAAACAGCCTGTAAACTGCAACAGAGTAGCAGTGTTTTCTGTGCAGACTGTGCTGAGATGTTATTAGCAGGACAGTTAGTGGGAGTTCAGTGACTTGAGTTAGTTGGTGAGTGACTGAGTTAGTCAGTCAGAGAACTGCTGAGGTTCAGTTGTTGTGAAGAGCTGGTAGCTGAGGCCGGGGATAGTTCAGAACCCAGAGTAAGGGGAACATCCACCACTGGAAGCTGTTATCAAGCAATGGCAGTGAAACTGTGGCTGTAGACACTAGCATGTGTATAACAGTGTACTTTAAAATGTCATCATACTATATATCAAAGAGTCCAATAAACCTGGTCATCGATCCAAACCCAGTCTGTAGTCACACACCCTAAAACTGTGACAATCTTTTTTTTCCAGGTTTTCACATGCCTAATAAACATTAAAAAAAACTATAAATGCCATCAACACTACCTAACAATCAATACCTGAAACACATCACTCCCACCTTACAAATATTTAAAATAGAATTACATTTTTTCTAATTTTATTTAACCAATACAATTTAACTTTTTGCATAAATTATTTGAGACATATCACACAGAAAACTTACACTTAAAATTAAAATTTAAATCATATTATTATACATAAACATAAAAAATGGATCCATTTTAATAATTCAATAACAACATATATAATTCATAAAAACCGCCTGATGATGATCCTGATAGATCGAAACATGTAATGGATGAAAATAAAAAAACCCAAATATTAAATATTTTAATACTGGTTTATAATGTGTTGATGGCCCCTAAGTATACCTCTGTTACATGACACATAACAGGATGCAGAAAATAAAGCTATGTGGATCTGCCATTAACTTTATTGCAGGACTGTGCATTCATCTGCATTAATATTCCCACAAAAATTTGTCTGTTCTTTCATTCACTGCCACAGAGTTGCATTCATTAACATTATACTGATGCTGCAGGTGCATACTGTGACACCAACTGGTCGAACTCAGATTCTTTCTGAAGGTACTCCTTTATGAATGGGTGATCAAGATGTGAATCTTTGAGCTGACTCAAGTACCTGTTTGCAACCTGAAATACAAATATCCAGTATAATATATTTGTTCTAAAATACAAATACCTTCACCTAGATTTCAGATATCAGGCTTACAAACACTATTCTAATGTTTTCCAAATTTTCTTTTGTGTGTCGTCATAAAGAAAGAGGCAACATAGTGAAGTCAGCAATGAACATGACTGGTGTTCAAATATATCATTTACTACATGAAGATGCTGAATTAAGCACAAGTAAATCCTCTGAAAACGCCTCTATTTTGTCAAAATTCTAAGCAATAAAGCAAATATTAATAAAGGGATGATCCCAGTAATTTGCCAGCAACAATAATCTGATACATTATGTAAGCATGAGTGTAATAGTGATACTAATTGTAAAGAAATTCCTGACAATGACAACAGCCTGTCAATTTATCCATGCATGCAGGCTATGATCCTGTTCAAGATGCATAACCACACAAATTAATTTATATCTCCACAAGTTTTCATCAGATTACGTTAGTTTTCTGAAACTTTTAATTATTCCAGTGACAACTGATCCAAACTTGACTAACATCTTCACAAAACCTTTACCCGAAGCTGAAACTTTAAGTTTTTTAGAGTATTTCTTTGCATATTTCTTTTTACACTAACAATCTGGAGTTTTCAAAATTTGTGATGCGCAGTGTTTCGCCCCAGTGCCTGTGAACTTTCTGCAATTTTAGCCTCCTTGCTTCAACACTGTGGTAACTATGAAAACAACAAAGAAATGTAGTTATAGTACCTCTGGTGGTTTTCCTGTATGCTGGGACAGTACTATCATATTGATAAGTGTGTCTGGATTGTTACTGTCTTTATCCAGAGATTCTTGAAGAGAAGACTCGGCTTCTTCATACTTTCCCTGCCCAAGAAAACATGTTGCCTGTCCATTCAGTAATAAGGATGTACTACTATGCTTGTCATTCATCTCCTGAAAGATGTAATAGCCATCTTGCAATCTTTCTCCATTCTGCAACAAGACCATATTAGGTTATACAGAGTGGGGCACAGAAACTTCCTTTTTGTGAAGACGCATTGTGAAGGGAGGGGAGGTAGCAGAAAAGTGGGGATAGGCTCGGCAAACGCAGCAGTCGTGGAAGTTTCTGTCTAATACCCCTCAGTAGGAAACATGAGGTGGACGAGTGAGCAGCGTGCCTTTGCTCTCGAAGCCTATTTTTCGAACAACCATTCCTACATGGCAGTACAGCATGTGTTCCATACTCACTTCGGAATTAAGCCCAGAGGTCCGGTTCCCGATCAGAAATCGATTGTTTTGTGAGTAGAGAACTTTAGAACAACCGGGAGTGTGGTGAAAATATCATTAGGTCGACAACGGACCATTATGATGCCAGAAAATCTGGAGGCAGTTCAACAGTTGATTTTGAGATCTCCAAGACACTCTGCTCGCAAACATGCAGTTGACCTAGACATATCCGATCGTTCAATGCGCCGAATTCTTCAGGAACAGCTTCATTTCCATCCCTGTATGATGGTTGTTGTGCAAGAATTGTCACCACGTGATTTCCAGAACCGAATAACGGCGTGCGAAACGTTATTGGAAACTTTACCCCCTGACACACTTGTTTTCTTTAGTGATGAGGCACATTTTCACCTATCCGGATATGTCAACAAGCAGAATATGTGCTATTGGAGTGGTAACAATCTCAGAGAGCTCCATGAGAGGCCACTTCACAGTGATAAGGTGACAGTATGGTGTGTGTTGTAGAGAGTTGGAATTATTGGCCCTTATTTTTTTGAAGAAGACAATCATGCAGTTACTGTCAATTCACAGTGGTATGCGGACATGATTAAAAACTTTTTGGAACCAGCTCTTGAAGAAATGCATCTAGGAAATGTCTGGTTCCAACAGGATGGTGCCACGGCCCACACAGCCCGAGCTTCGATGAGAGTTTTGAGGGAAAAGTTCCCCGGACGGCTCATCTCGCTTCAAGGTGACACCCCGTGGGCAGCGCCCTCACCTGATACAACGCCCTGTGATTTTTTTTATGGGGATACCTCAAGGCAAAGGTTTTTAAACATCACCCCACACACCTGCTCCAGCTGAAGAATGTTTTTTGGCAGGAAGTAGCCCAAATTCCAGTGCACATGTTGGAACGTGCAGAGGGGAACTTCAGAAAACAGTTGCATCAGTGCATAGAGAATGGTGGCCACCACCTTCAAGATATTTTGTCTAAAACTACATGATTTAAAACTTTAAAGTATATTCTTTCATTAGCTAAACATAACTTTTGTCTTATCAGCAATAATTTTTCTTTTATTCGCGTTCAAAGAAAGGAAGTTTCTGCGCCCCACCCTGTAATATGGAGCCTCAACCTGAGAAGGCCCTAGTTTTAATAACATTAACAAATCTAATCACAAAATTATCCACTGTACTGATACTGTACTGTGATTATGAGGTCTAAGTCTGCTCTCATTATCTTGATGTGAAGATGGAAATTGTTCATTTCTCCTTGATGGCTGCAAAACAGACCACCACAGCGCTCAAGAAATTAAGAAATGGAGGCACAGTGTAACAACTGTGGCATGCTTCCTCTGTTATTTCCATTGAACTTTCAATCTGTGAAAGTGAACTTCTGATGCTCTTTCTTATAAGTAGTGTGACATGAAGGCTGAAAGCCAGGATATTTTAACAAGAAAACTCATTAATTTTTTGGCACCAGCTGGTGAACATGTTTCCACAATGAACAAAACATGCTCCCACATAAAAAATACCCAGGCCATTGCTAAGCCCACTTAACATGTAACTCAACACTGGAAGAATTTTCAGAATCAGTGTTTTTTTTCTTCTATGCACTCCATGCCAAGGCTATGTAAGGAGAACACAAGCCTTCTAGCCACAGAGGGGGAGGGTGAGCTAAGGTGTGTGTATGTGTGCATGACTTAATGAGTAAGTGCCCACTCCAGTAACTATCAACGGTAGTCAGACCCTACCTCTCGTTGAAGAGGAGGCCCCACTTAAACATGTACATGTCTGGGACAGAGCAAAAATCTTGGTCATGGATCCTGACAGGACTTGAAACCAAGAATTACTGTGCTGATGTGAGACGGGAGTAACTTAACCCTTTCGTGACGATCGCCGCTTATATGCGGCGCACCTGCTTTTTAAATGTTGCCGACTGCCGTATATATGCGGCATCACACGCCCTCTAATCTGACTTCAATTGAAGAACGTGTGTGTTTTCTACCGAAAATTGAATTATGTAGCATTATACATGAAATGTAGCCATAACTTTTGACATAAATACATGTATGGTCTTTGAAGCCTATGTCTGCTAAAATGTCTATGCAACCTGTGCAGAAGAAATATATTCAGGCTGTGTTTAGAGTCATGATTATTGTTCCTATACACATACGTACTTCGAGTAGCTAGGTGAAAACTGATATGGCACTTAGATAAGCATATAGCTTTGACTGCAGAATGAATGGGGCTTTCTTCTGAGCTAGTAAACAAATAAGAGCGTGTGCATACGCCAGTCCATAACAGTTCGCCAATACAGAGCGCAAAGTGTGAAGTGGCCAGGCGGAACAAAATGTCATACCGAGGTTACATGATTCAGTCAAAGGGTTGCTCTTTCTGGGAAGAAATCAACACCACGGAGGTGTGTGGTATGAAGCAAACATGGACAGAGGAGTGACTCGAGGTTTCACTGTCAGGAATGTGATGTCGGGCTCTGTGTGGACGGATGTTTTGAAGCCTATCACACACAACTTAATTTCTAAGGTAATTCTGCATGATTAATGAAAAGTAGAGTATTTAATAGAAAAGTTATGTTTTATACAGAGTACAGTGTTCGTTTCCGGTTTTAAATTCTGTATTTCTAAATTTTTATGCCGTTTTTCAAAAAATAATTGTGATCTTCAGACGAAAACATTGAAATATCACCGTGCTGTTTATAAAATCTAAACCTACTTTATTTTCTGAATATGACGATAATTTATCGCTTTGAAATTCCAATTTTCTTTGCTTTTACAGCGAATTTATAAAAGTTGTGCATTTCTGGTAAGAAAATTAAAAATCCTCTGTCCACCCAGTAAGGTTTACTTTAAATGCCGCTCGTCGCCCAAGGGTTAAAAGGTGGGCAAGCAGGGAGTAGTACTTAGTCTGTGAGTTGCACATATTTATGAAGGATATGTGGAAAAATAAGATGAATTTTAGATAAGCCAACTAAGGAAACAAGATTTCAGGAACTCATAACAGTCCCCATTCTGTAACAATTAACTCTCAGTCACCCAGCATGTATGGGGACTGGGGTATTCTGGTTACATGAATCCGCAGGTTGCATGAGAAGAACTTGCAAAGTCAAAACATGTTTGGTTCAATTCTTGAAAGTAAGTCTCCTTTGGCAACATAGCAGATCAATGGTGAAAGGTTTTGTATATACTGTAACACAAAAGCAGCCTCCATAGTCTAGGGGTAACGTTCCCACCTCATGACTCAAGGTATGCGAGTTCAAACCCGGCGGAGGTCGTGGAATATAGGACACTGTGAAACTTCTATAAGAGACCATACTTATGTGCCACAGTCTGTGTTTTAGGCAATTTTAGTGTAATGCAACCCCCTATTCAGAGACTATGCTGACCATCGACCATGCCTGGTTTTTACCAAACCACTCTGTAAAAACATATCACAATGGAGGTTTCCATCCCCAGCCTCTGAATTAACCAGTGCCATGCAGAACAATGCAGACTACATACTTCAGAGGACAATAACAAGTCCCCATTACTCATGCCTGTTCTGTGAGTGGTATTCATACTAGACAGCATGAAGACCTAAATCAGTTTCTTAAGTAATTATTTAGCATGTTATTTAAAGAGCAGCGGGATACGACAGGAAAATCAAGCACTTCAAAAATAATATTTTCATGATATAATAGTTATTCAATAATTACAAACTGTGTTAACAGTCTTAAAAATTCAACTATATTTATTCTAATAATTTTCAAGATAAATTAAAATTAAAGGATGATTATCCAAGAGTCTGCCAAAAATTGTTTGAATGTTCCAGTGGAAGAGTTGCATGTTCCTTGCATTGGTCTGACTCACAGCATGGGCTGACAAGACAACAGCTTTTACACGTTACAATTTCTCTTCAGTATCTTCCTAATAAATCACTGAACAGCTGGTGTGACGCAACTTTATGTGGTATGTGCATACTGACCATAATCCATAGCCCCTGTTATTGTGCTAAATATTCCATCAGTTGCATGACTCCCTCTGCTGAAATGCCACAAGACAGTTACACAATGAAAGAAGAGTTCACATAGAATATTCATGGCAAAAATTTCAAGCCATTACTCGTACAGTTCCAAATGTAAGAACTGATCACATAATCCAAAATAAATGAAGTCAGATGAAGTCACTACTGGGCAAACAAGAAGCAAATAAAAATGTCAGTTGTTCACTGAAGAGAAATTACTGCTAAGCTTGAAAATTTCCTTCAAGAATTCCTTTGGTGCCTTACAAAGGAGATCAGGGTTCAAAGCTTCAGGTTTGAAGTCTAGCTTATTTCCAAAAAATAATTTAAATGAATGAATGTGAAGTATTTTTATGGAGGTGCCAGAAATGTGTAACAACAGGGAGCATTTTCAGCATTTGCTGTGATGTGTGGGTTCCGTTTGTGATCTGTTGGACCATGAGCTTGTGGACTGGACTGTGGGTCCAAATACACACAGTTAAAGTTGACACAAGAAAGATCTCTCTTCTGTTGATACACAAACAATTTGCAGCAGACTCAGATAATCTCCCTGTACTATTAGAGTGTATCACTGAAAATGTAATGAAACTTCGGTACTGTGACACAATAGGCTGACAGCATAATCAAACAATGGACTCAAGGGTTGACAGGTGGCTTCTTGACCTAGCAAAAGTGAAGCAATGGAAGACTCCTTGGTTTCTTAATTAGATCCACAACAAGAATGAATTTCACCAGTGAAAACAAAACACCAAGTTCAGTTGTAATCTAGCTCTGGTATGCTGTACTTACAAAAAACTGAAACTTATTCTGCATCATAATTACTGCTTACTCATCTCTACAAATAATAAAAGGTGGAAAAAAGGTAAAGTTGTCCCTGTGTTTAACTAATTAAGAACTACACCATGAAGGTGCATGGGGGAGTGCATGTATAGATCCACATTTTCTTGACCTCAGCACTAGCTGGAGGCGAATGATCAGTTTCACACTCCGACCACTTTACCCCCAGAGAAAGAGCCCCTGGTACCCATTGGATAGGAGGTTGGGTTGACCCCAGAGCCAGTCTGGTTGACATGGAGGACAGAAAACTCTTGACATGACCGGGATGCAAACTCTAAACCCTCAGTCGTCCAGCCCGTAGCCAGTCACTATACCGACTATGCTATTCTCCACAAATAATAGAAGAAAAAATATACTGTACCATCATAATGGACACCCAAGCTGTGGCAAGTTGTGTTAGTGTAGCATCATCATCCATTTCTTGCATTGACTTAAGTTCCTTCCAAGCCAGATCAACCCGATCCATTTTCAAGTAGATCTGTAGTGATAAAGCTGAGCTATAATGAACAAAAGAATCATAAAATAGCCATAGTGCATATAAAGGAAACAATTTCAAACAACATGACATAAAATATGGAAAAAAAAAAAAAAACAGCAATGAACTCACCATTCAAGATGATCAGCTTCATTCAAAAGTCTTAGAGCCGAGTCATACTTGCGTTCAAGGTAATAGATTGATGCTGCTACAATTATAAATGTGTGATTGCTAACATCCACATTCCCAGAGACTTGCTGATCCAAGCTTGAGACAAGACTTTCTCTAGGCAATTAACAGAAACGAGACCCCTTATCAAAAATATCCAATTTGAAAACAAAAATTAAAATATATATACATGAAAAAACATGATACATAAAAGACAAACTAATTTCAGAAAACATCACAAAACAGAAAATCCCAATTTCCATGCAGTATTTTTGTAAATGTTTTCCATCTACTGTGCATATTAGCTGTCAGTTTATAAACAATCAGACCACAAAATATACTTTTTTCAGATTTTCATTTAAAACCCCTACATGTTTCACCATAAATTCACAGCATCAATAGGGAATATTTCATACTGTTTACAATAGCCTAGTCTAGAGACAGGACTGAAGAAGTCACAATCCATTTATTCCATTTTAATATACATTTGAATAGCTTAAATACATGATTTTAGAATACAATTTGGGTATAATATTACGTTGTAAACAATATGGAAGTACTGCTGATGACACCATGCACCCACAATGATGTAAAATTTATTTCAACGCATATCTTAAACAGATGTATCACATTGTCTAGTTATCCATTTGCAGAACTATTTAAAAAATTGAAGAAAGTCGTCTTCTGGGTTTTTTAAATATGTAAGTTTTGAGGTTTTTCACAGCGATGACTATGAAGAAAGTTGTCTTCTGGGTTTTGGCGCCGTGTATTCTTCGTTTTGGCCGACANTTATTCACATGGTGACTGAATTTTTTTTTTCTTAATAAGATGGCATAATTAGGATAAGTTTAACAACTAATGTAGTGCATTTTCAAGTTCTAAAGTATTAAGCAACACCAGTTCCAGTCCAACTTCAGCTAATGATGGAGATGTCGCTATCAAATTGCCATACACATTCTGAATGTGAAGTTGAATGATTACTGAATGGTACCAGCGTTCCTCTTGATACAAGTTCATATAACCATCATGTTAGTATAATTGATGGCAGGAAGTTAAGAAGTATTAAAATGGGATATCTCCAATGCCATAATCTGCATAGTAAATATTACAGAAACTAGTTAATTAGTATCTGCAATATTCACCTCTAGCTAACTGATAAACACTGACAGCCAACTGGATCCTAAAGAAGGAATTCACTTCTTTGAGATCCAGATGAATAAAACAATTATAACTATGTCCCCATCATACAAATATATGTTTTCATTGATCAATTCACACCAAGCCACAACTATGCAAACCCCTGAGCCATATCACACCCCCCATCAAGTTCCACACCACCAATAGGACATGCTGTCACAAGAAACTGCTCCAACGCTTTCTTCCCTGTAAGCAATGTAGTTACTCCTTTTCAAGCAGCAGCTCTATATATAATTAACTCACTAAAAGAACAACACTTGTTATAGAACCCACCCCATCTCTAACAATAGTAGATCACAAGTGTGACCACCAGAAATGGAACCTCTCCATAAAAAAACAAACATAAAGATCCAGCAATGCAAAAATAACCGAAAGAGCTAACAACCATCAGCCATATTCCAAAGCATCAAAGAATACATTCAAAGGGATTTCCTCCTGTAATATTTTGGTTTAATTTTTTATTTTTAATTTTGTTAAAATTGTAATATGAATGTTTAATTACAAGTTTAATGTATGTATAGACAGAAGTTGGACCCAACAGACCCAAGATTAACCAACAAATTCCATACTACCACTGTAGTTTATGTAATCTGTCACCAGTTGTGTATTACTCAAGATCACCTGAAGATGGCTTATAGAGGCTGAAACATGTGGACTGAGTGAGTATATGAGTGAACAATAAAAAAAATTGTTTTGTGAACGTAACACCTCTTATTTCTATTTCAGCACCACAAACAGAAAGCAGCACTACAAGATAATCATGTTCATTTTTAATTTATTACAAGCAGTTTCAGTAAACATATCTTACCATAGAAGAATGGAAGTGGCAATGAGGAAGAGGGAAAACCAAGGAACTAATGTTCAATTTGTACTCCATCTACCTGCAACACCCTAGTGCTTTCCTTTTCACAACAGTGCTTCCACAGCTCCTACCTTTTTGACGGAACAGCAAAATATTCCGCCAAGAGTCTAAGAGGCTGCAATTCAGCAGGAGAAGCTGCACTGATCTCATCAAGGACCACTCGATATTTTCTCTGAGCAATGTACGCTCTATAGAGAAATGCATCTCTTTCTACTTGAAGAGATGAAGTGCTAGGCTGTAACAATGAAATAAGACTTCAGGATATCCTCATCGATGACTACCATATTAAAGTGGTGAGGACTTCATGCTCCTGCAAGCTGAAGAGCCATGCTTGTGGGAATTTTAACATTGTAATATGACTATACAAGTAACACAAAATAGAGTCCTTAAGAGTTCCAGGTTTAGTGCTGTGTGTGTTGGGGGTGAAAGGAAGCTAAATAATTGAAATGAATAATTTTCATTTCGTGCATTCTGTTGTGTTATAATATACAATTTCTTTATTAAAATCAATCACAACACCTTTATATTGTTGTGTTGTGACAGATTTTAANGAAAAACTACAAATATGTCGACTCCCATATCTTGGAACCCACATGTGGGTCATTGCATCTGAATCATTTCTAGGTAAGACTTGTCACTCACATGGAGTCGAACATAATATTATAACTACCACAATGAAGATACTGTCTTTTGGGACATAACACTGGGTAGTTAGGTAGATAGTGACCATTGTTTTGAGGGAATGTGGTGCCTCCATCTTACTCCTGAAGATGGCACCAACAAATTCTTTCAATATTTTATCTATCGAACTACACAGGATCACATCCCAGAGGACAGTAATCATGAGCAGTATTATTTCAACAAATCAATACACTGAACAATAAAGCTACTTCTTCTAAATCCAGAGAACAGTGTAGACTGCATGAGGCAGACTCTGTTGTGTGAGCGCACTTTTATAACTAGTTTTGTAGTTGTGCGATGGTGAAATCAACCTGCCGTTGGATTATTTCTCAGATGAGGCATAGTTTCAATGAAGTAGGCATGTAAATACCCAGAATAATGGCATTTATCATAAAATCCCGGACTGATACATGAAGTGCCTTTATGTAATATTAAGTGGTTATATGGGCCGCACCATAGCTCCAAGTACTTCGGTTTCCCCTACCCATCTTCATTCCACCAATTGCTCCACAATCCCCCTCACCTATCATCTGGGGCTCGTTCAACAGGCCAGAAGTGGCTGCAGTACAAGAGACTTAGTCCCACCCCAGCAGCATTAAAATAAAGGAAAAAAAGAAAGGTGGATATATATGGTCTGGGGGGCACGCGGTAGCGTAGTTAGTTGTGGCACTACGCTACAAGCATAGGTTTAAGACCTGATGAGGTCAGTGGATTTTTTCAATTAACCTAATCCTTCCAGCTGAGCTATGGTTCTGGGGTCGACTCAGCCTCTAACAGAAACGAGTACCAGGAATATTCTTGGGGGTTAAGGGCGGCCAGCGCATAGGGCTGACAACCTTGCCGCCATCTATGGGCTGATTGTCTAGAAAATGTGGGAACCTCAACATCTCACAACGCTATGGGCCTCCACAACCTGTTACAGGGATACCTTTACTTTACTTTACTTTACGATATGGTCTATCAATGCTACAAGAATTACTCAACACTATTTTTTTTTCAGAGACAAATTCAGAAAGTTACAGCAGACTAATTCTCACACCAATTTCTGAACACCTAAGTGAAGAGAATATGTGTTCTTTTAGCAAATGGTGCAACTCCCACACAGTCCCCTTCTCATATAACACCTTTCATGAATCAGTAATTAGCCATCCTTTGTGTTCTACTCATTCCTTTGTATGATTCTGTACGCTTATTACCTACAGGGAAATCTGAAGAACTATCCACCAAAACAATCCATATATACAGACCAAACTTCAATAAAACATTGAGTGCACAGTATCGTAATTTTGTGACAAGATCTTTAAAAACTTTCAGTAATATATTCACCATATCTGAAGTATATCTAACAGCTGAAAGAGATAATTTCCAGCATCTGTTATAACATGCGATAAATTATGTTACATACGTACTACATAAGGTTAATGTAGACATCAGTGACTAATTGCAATCTAATGGCATGCTAACATGTGGGTTTCAAAATAAATGGGTCACCTGAATACAATTTATTAAGGGCATATTTACATACAGAACAAGAAGTTTTACACAAAACTAAGGTTAATGCTTTTTTTTTTCAGATGCTTTCATCTATACAGGAAGGCTAAAAAGAATTATACAGCAGATTACATTAGTAATTCATAAGTATCAATTCCAATTACCTCCGAGATGTCCAGACATGGAATGTAAATAAATTATGTTCTCCTCTGCGAGTTTCAGACTGTTAAAGTGTAGTACTTGCTAACATACTGTTACATGTACACCCATTGTTAGGCAACGTGTTGGTAAACAGCCCATTGCTAGGTTATGCAACAATAAATGAGGTTCTGTTTTCTGTGCGGTCTGTGACAAGCAACTGTAGAATAACAAGGCTATGCAATACGTTTCTAAGCAACGGCTGGGTAAACACACTCCACATAAGCCATGAGGTCAGCAACAACTGAGACGTGTTTTCTGTGAGATTTGTGCAGAATGCTTATAAGGGAAATGAATGCAGTGACAGAGTTAGTTCAAGGGTAGTTACGAGTCAGCCATATGGTGGAGGAGTGAGTCCAGTTAGTTCTGAGGTTCCATAGTGATTGAAGATGAAATAGCAGGAAGACTTCACAGTGCTTCAAAGTGCTAGTTTTTGTTTTGTGATCTGTTGCTATGAGATGACTAGTAGAAACTGAGAATCCTTGTGTGTGTGTGTGGGCGCGCGCGCGCAACGGTGAACTGTAAATTGTGTACACCAGTGATAGTGCTGTATTAATTGTAATTAAGAGAGACTGTAATTGAAGTGCCAATAAATTCAATCATCTGATCTAGAATCCGTTATTTTCGCAATGCATACCACCCTACATGCAACAATATAAAACATCACCATACAGAATTTTTATATATTGTCACATGATGGAGTGACTATAGATGTGGTCTGGATTGGTAATCAGATTTATCAGACTCTATAACACACAACTTGTGACTACACTTTACAAATCACTATTACACAAAGAATAGTGGCCTGTGCTGCTTCCAACAGTGGACCATCATCTGCTCCAGGGCTCACGTCTTTGCAGGCTGCTGGCCTGGCCACCTCACATCAACCTCCCATTCTTCTAACTGCCACCTCAAGAATATCCCATAATAGCAGATGGTCCTCATTATATAGCCCCAGCAAGAACCGCACAGAAACCAATGCTTCCAACAGTTCTTCTAATACTGGGTGACAACACTATCTGCATGGACCACACAGAAACACAGAAAACACAGCTCCTCTGTTGCATGTACAATCACTTTTAACTGATCAACCCAGTGATTGCTCTCTCTTCAGTTATGTCACATTATGTTTATCGCCAATCTACATACTAAATTCCAGTTGTACATTAATTTTTATTATTATTAATAATTAATTAATTATTTTATATAAATTTCACACAGTCACCATGTTATTTTCCACTGCACAAAAATGTGATGTCAACAAAAGTTATGTATTCTTCAAGGGCCAATCACATAATGACATGTTTAGGTCTAATATTAAATGGTGCTGGTATCTCCACTTCAACAGTCTTCAGTCACCATGTCAGCATTATTGTAGGTAGGGAATTAAAGTGCACAGTCACAGGGAAGCCTCCAGTGGTATAATGGTCTTACTATGGTTCATGAAAATCTACAAAATGGCTAACAGTTTTTTGCAGGATGGGTGTAAAGGACATGTGGCAGATCAGTGTGTGCATGTATACACAAACACACATACAGATGGATAAAAAAATACATTGGGCATAATCTATTTGGGGGGGGGGGGGATTTTTGAAAGNATGAAACTGTCAGTATCTAGGCTATACACTGGCAAATTGTAGGATGACTGATGAACTGCTGAGAATTTGGACGGAAGTGACCAAGGCCTAATACCTCACCAAGAAACTGCTGAGCATCACGTTCACCGGCACAAATTAAAAGCGAATAGGAGACAGCCCCAAGCAGCATAGTAAAACAGTGTGGTCAACTCCACAGCACTTAATATTACTCAAATCAGCACATTGCAACATAATACAAATCTAACGTTACGTGGACTCATATCCCAAATATTTTTAGTTTTACACATATGAAATGTGAAGTTTTCTTTTCATTACAACCCCTTGATGATGGCCTTGTAAGGGCCAACATATCTTGGGGTCCCTGTAACACACAGTGTACTTCCGCAATAAATGAGTTATACTTGGATGGTAATCTGCATTTGATTTTACGCAGATAGTATACAGAGAAACGAAACATATCAACGCAAATACGAGTATAAAGACATATATTCATATTCCTACCCCTACAGCCTCGAGGTAAAAGAAAACACTTTCACAAAGATTAGAATTGCCCACTTACCTTCAGCTTCTGTGCTTCGTTGATACATTGTTGGTAATTTCCAATATAAAACGCATTCTTAACATCAAATAATTCATCGACCTCTCCCTGCTGACGTGCCATTATGTTTTAACACGGGTGTTGATGATATCGATACCTAACCCCACTAACACGGAACTACTTTGCAATTCACTCTTTCTCTTGCGTTCTCTTACATGAAATTAAATTTCTCGCCCGTTTCGTTTGTAGTAGATGGCGACACTGATATATCGCGTGGACGCTTGTGTAAGACTAGTAGAATTGAAAATTGGGAGTTTGTAGAAACCAGCCCCCGGAAACTCTTGGTTAATGGTGTTATTTTTATTACTTCTACGTGGATCGAATGATAAGTAAGAATCAGTGTTCAATGTATCCCTGCTTTATTAAGAGGAACCTTTTGATACACAAAGCCGTTTTATATATATTCACACACATAACCATGACAACACATAATTTCCGCGGTGACGTCACATGACATTACTGCTGCCATCTCTAGGCAGACGTACCTTGACTAAATGAGAAATGGCCATCAGCACCGACAGCATCATCAATAAAATAAAATGCTACCATACCATCCAATGCGACCTCGCCTCCGCCCTCAAGTTCGCATGAATGGCAATACGTTATTTTACTACCACATATATTGTGCTGCAGAGGTTCTTACTCCGTTGTTATTTTTTTCTCTTATGAACTGGGTTCAATATCATTTCACTCATACCCGTTCCAAAGGACATGAGTGAAGTAATATTGAACGCAGTTCAAAATTAAAAAAAAAAAACATAAGGGGGTACGAACCTCTGAAGCACAAGGGGTCAGGGTTGCAAAACCAGAAAGTTTCTCACCAGTGTCTGTAGAGTAATAACATTTCATTCATATCAGTCCAAACTCACCTTACCCAAATGCATTGGACATTGTGAACTACAACATACATAGAATACTTGTGTTGTTTTCATCAAATATATTTCTATTTAACTTCACAATTTTGGTAACAACTTACACTTAAAACCCTCACATAACATAGATTTTTGGTTACATTAAAGCATAATAAATTATATACAGCATATAATATATATATCATATTTTACAGAATTACAATTAATACTGAAATCTATATGGGAAAGAGTAACATACCTTAGAGAATACGGGAAATCTGATATTCATCCTTCATTTCAGTAATGCGGAGGATTATATGGCAAATTAATATATCTTACAGAATATTGGAAACATGGCATCATCTTCCAGTACAGTACTGGACAGGATTATTTGGCAAATGTAATAAAAGCCTGACTCTTACAATTTCCAACATTTCCCGAAATATTCTCCTTCGAATGTTGCCATTACTAACTATATTTTATTTTTCGACAAATGTTAAGGATATACATATACTTTAATTGAACGATATCCACCTACAATACTAGTGCTCAAATATTAGATAGGGAAATCACTGCTTACGATCTGAGGCTAAGGAAAATCATTCAACATTCTTCTAAGCATTAAAACAAAAACGAACATATGACTATATATGTTCCACACTAAACTATAAAATACAATTAAAAGAATGTCAGCTGTAACAAATCCTACTTTCCTGTAAGCAGTTTAAAAGAGGGAAACAAAATATTTCCCTGATGTTGTATACTACCTGCTAGCACGTGTAAGCCTGGGGGATTAGATGGCAAGAATGTAATCCGTTGTCTATCTCACCGAAATACATATATACATACTTACAATTCACTTGCCATCATTCTTCATGCTATAACACATACTCTACGCACTAATGTGCACATTTTACACTGTCATTTAACAGGATTGCCAGCATAACACCAATGACAATATGTACTTCACTTAGCGCACCACATTGTAATAAGCAAGAATTCTTCATGCAAAGAACATATATGTACATAAAAGGGAAAACTTTTGAATCCACTGTGGGTGAATTGAAATCTTAACATTCTTGAAAACACTACAAAAACTCACTACATATCACTTATACAGGCTGTCCCAGGTGGAATGTGCCAAACTTCGGGAGGGTATTACTTATGTTAAAGTATGACGATATAACCAAAAACACCTATGTCCAAAGTTGAATGGTTACGGAGATAATGGCCAGAGAAGTGTGAAATTTTGACCGGTGTTACACACTTGTTGATCACAAAATACATATTAAAACAGGCAGGAATATGTGGTTTCTGTAATGTTAATAATGTACGTAACATCAAACAAATTTGTGAGTGACATGACACCATTAAATTGAACTATAAAAAACTAGAACGCCATGTCAAAGTTGTCGTTAAGAGTACCAAGCACTATACATGACACACGAATGGCAACCGCTGACGTAACATTGCTGACTGCGCGTTTTGGTATTCAAGTGTATGGGGCTAACGTAAGCTGCCATCACTACACTCAAGGAAAACGTAGATAAGACATGCCAGCTGACAGGTGCAGTGCGTGAACTCGACAGAAGACCACACTTTTCTTGGGCCATAATCTCTGTAAACGTTCAAATTTGAAAAAAAGGTGTTTTGGGTTATATCGGCATACTATAACATAAAGAACACATTCCCGAAGTTTGGCACATTCCTCCTGGGACACACTGTATATTATACAAAAAATATGAGGTCCCACTACAGAAATTAAATTCCACTCTACACTCGTCATTAAAATGGGCAAAACAACATACATTATAACCACCAAACTATCACACAGAATTAAGAAATATAATCATTTTTCACACGCTCCTTACAAGTACTTATACTAACGCAAAAAGGAACATCATTCTCACTAATAATAAACCCCACCTGTCTATTCGGGGCTACCTACCAATACTACTGCATCTTTTCTGTCATACCAGATATGCAGTCATAAAATCTAATTCACTCTCTATCCATATAACCAATAAAAAAAATTTTATGCAAATCACTGTACATACTTCACACGAGATTATTAATAACAGTGCAAGAATAACCTCAAACACACACTGTCTCTCACTACACACACACTATTCTTATATGCACTTACTTTTGTTAAATCAATAAATGTAC